CATCTCATTTCCGTCATCCACGACCAGCCAGCAGCAGCGACAGCAAACTCCAACAGCTACCACCCCCCCTCTTCTGTCCGAGGTGGGTTCGACTCCGATATCGAACAGCGCTTCCACTTCCCCCTTCGACTTGCCTTAACACTTGCTTGGCGCGCATTCCTGCTGCCTCTTCTTCCCTTCTCCAACCGTTGCCTATTCGTACACCAACCCACTCCGCCGCCATCGTCAACACTCCTTCAGCGGTTGGGTTCCATGTATCCAGTCCAATGCTCGGCGACGTGAGCGCAGCATGTGTAAGAACGACCTCTCTCTTCCTCAGCCTGTCATTCCATTCAGTCAAACGAGGCCTCATCAGCGACACTCCCCAATTGACGACGCCTCCGTCCCCATCACCAACCATCGCCTCCACACGGCTTTCTCCTCCCGACCGCTTTGTACCACGAGTTCCCCTTGGCTTGGCTCCCGACACTGACGTCTCACAGCGCTCGATCAGATTTACAATCGAGTGTAAGTTCTCCCAGCCTTCCTTCGTACGGTCGGCCATTCTCGCCCTGCGACCCTTGCCGACAATAGACAACGACGCCGGCCTCCATCCCAACCAACCAGTGCGCTGGCCTCTTGCGGCGTTTCAACAACTGACTTGACTATTGCAGGCTACTCTTCAGCAACCCTGTATGGAGCGGCGCCAACACCGTGCCGAGCACAATCATCCGGAACATCACGACCTTCAATGTACGATCGCCTTTCTACTTTCCGCCCTTGTCAGCCAGAATGTCTAACGCCAGATGTCGCAGGATACCCTTGGATATGTCGATACGTTGAGAACAAACCTAACTACCCTGACCCGCACCAACTTGCAGACCCGAAATGGCATCATCCGCGGCCTCCTCTACGTCCCGGAGATTTCGGAAGCGAACCCATGCTTCGAACAGCAATACGATCTGATCCCGCGCAATGTCACCACGCGAGAACAGCTGCCCCCGCCCATGTACAACCTCATTGCACTTGCGCCATGGTTTAACTCTACATGCACCAAGGCATACCTAGCCGCTGCTCGCCTTGATCCCATTCGGGCGTTCATATTCTACCGCCCCAACAATTCCACCAGAGAACCTCAAGGCGTCAACTCTCCGATATGGGATCTCGAAGATGGTGGGGCCTGGCATTCCCAGAATCACTTTCCCGTCTTCGCAGTCCCGGGCTCGGAAGGCTCAAAGATGATGAAACAGCTCAGCTTATACTCTGGAGACCCCTCCACGATACCCTTTGCCGAAGAAGTCCAAGCCGAGCACGACCCGAACCCTCGAGATTATATACGAGTATGGACAGAGTTGACGATAACCGACCAACAGAATCTGCCAGCCATGTGGACCTGGATCTTGATCGTCGTAGGCGCCCTGCTCTTCATCATCGCATGCGTCTCCGTCACCATGCATCTCGTGCAACGACAAAGGCGGGCCTCGTTGCGGCGCCGCGTCATCAGCAGAGAGGTTGACCTAGAGGCAATGGGTATCAAGCGAATGGCGGTGCCACCTGCTCATATTCGAGAGTTCCCCCTCTTTACGTACAGCTATCAGCCAGAAGTCGCCAGCGCGCCCTCCACACCCCTGGCGACCCGGTCTCTGCGATCACCACGAAGCGTTCGAACCGACCAACGAGCCATCTCCGATGTCATGTCGAGCTCGCGCACTCGACGATCTAGCCTAACAAGCTCTGCGAACACCATCGCCACCAACTACCAACCACAATGCCACATCTGCCTGGAGCAGTACGAGGACCGTGTGTCCGTCATTCGCGAGCTACCCTGTGGACACATTTTCCACCCTGAGTGCATAGACGAATTTTTAGCCATCAACAGCTCATTATGTCCCATCTGCAAGAAGAACATGCTACCACGCGGATACTGCCCGAAGATTTCGAACGCCATGGTGCGGCGCGAGCGTGCCATTCGACGACTGCGCTCGCGCGTGGTTTTGGATGACTCGGACGATGAGGGCGGCGAGGAAAAGCATGGAAGATGGGGAAAATGGTTGCGGCGCAGAGATCAACATCAACCATTACCAGGAGGGGCTGGAGTTCCTTTGACACCGGTCAGCCCGAGCAAATCGGACGTGGCACTCAGGCCACCCTCATCGCCGGCGGACGCGGCACAACAACCGCCGTCCACGCAGCGGACACTGGAGACAACGCAGGAAGAACCTGCGGAAGATTCGGTCGACCCGCAAGGCGATGGTCAAGCCCATCACTCGACACTACAGACCCCGCAGCCGGCCGCTGCAGCGCACCACTCATCACGGAAAGCGAAGCGTCGGAAGAAGCCACGCGACTTACGGCTGCAGGCGCCTCAACCTGGGGAGCCGCCACTCGAGCCCCGGCAAGTCGAGGGTCGAAAGAGTCCGTCGGCTCTGGCGCGTCAGCGCATGCGCACACTAGCTGGCACGCCTCTGGATGACCCCGACGGGCGGCGTCCTGTGTGTAAGTTGATTTTGCGACTGCCACGAATGCAACTTGAGCTGACTTGAAGTAGGGCGAAAGGCGTTTACCAAGGTGTTCCCAGGATTTACCTAGACGAGGCCTGACTGATTTGGCGCATGTTCTTTTTGATGCGAGCGCTGGCATGGACACGGCGTTTGGAGGGTTGCTATATTTGACGCATTGTTCATAGCAGCAACAGGACGGGACAGTACAGCAAACCAGTCCCTTGGCCCCCTGCGATATGATGCACGGGCTGCCCAGAAGGGCGAAAGGCGCGAGGCCGTAGCAGCTGGAAGCGGCACATGGGCATCTAGGGCTGGTTTCATGGAGTATCGTTGGATGGAATATATACCCTGGCACCGGGCGAGGAAAGGCATCAAACATTGCAGGTTGGGAGGTTGTATTTTGCAACTGAAAAATAGGTGTCAGATGGATCGTGCCTGTGAGTAAGCCGTAGCTGCATATGAATCACTGTTTAATGACTGGCCGCGTGTGTCTGAGTTTACGACTTTCATGATGGCCTACTTGATTGCCTTGAGCGGTGTTGGATCGTGTTGGAAAGTAGTGGGAAGAAGTGACCGGTCCTGACTTGGTCATTCATATCATCGCACACATCAACATGGACAACGAGTGGTTATACTAAAGGCTTCACAATGTCTTTTAACGTTCGGCCTTGTTTCTTTGCTTGTCCTATATACAAAAGCTCGCCTGGGTATACTGAGATGTATAAATGTGGATAAAAAAAAAAAAATCATAAAGTTTAAATTTCGTCTGATGCCATGTAGGAAAGGCTTTTGTCATGATCATTATGAAAGGCGCACGTCACGGTCACGCATCGATGGCCCTCGCCTCGTCCTTGACACCGCCCCTCGCGAGCGCCTCCCTGACCTTGTCATCCTCGGCATCCCGGATGCGCCGCCTCGCCTGCTCGAGACGGTCGACGCCGCGGTCGATGGTCTCAATGTGGACGCTTAGGGGTATGGCGCCGCGGTCGCCCAGACCGGGGCCGGGTCCAATGGCGGAGCGGGCGAGGCCGGGCTCGGCGACGCGGTCGCGCAGGTCGCCGAGGCCGGCTTCAATCTTCTCGAGCTCGACGACAAGGGCCGAGACCTGGGAGACGGCCTGGGAGCGCTGCGTGTCGACGGCGCGCAGGAGGCGCAGCTGGCCGTTGAGGTCGCTGATGCGGCGGTTGTTGGCGCCGACGAGGGACCACAGGGTCCAGAGGACGTCGTCGCGGGAGTCGCGGACGGAGCGGTGCGAGCGCGTGACAACGTCGTAGATGAGCGAGAGGTGATCCTCGGCCCTTGTGAGGAGGCGGAGCACGGCCTGGGCTTCGACGAGGAGGCCGGCGATGCGGTCGGACACGAGGGCCGTGTGCTCAATGTACTTGTCGAGGAGGGCGCGCTCATCAAAGGGTACCGTGGCGGGCTGGAAGGGGGCGAAGAGCCAGGAGGTCCAGACGGCGAGGCCGGTGCCGGCACTGTCGGCGTCGGCGGCGGCCGTGGATGCGTCGAGGGCGTCGAGATAGCGCGACGTCCAGTGGTTGATGGAAATGACCGAGTCGACGGCCGAGCCGACGTGCGTGTTGAACTTTTGCAGGTCAGAGGCCGTCTGGCGCGCAGTGGCAATGTACTCGTCAAAGTGGAAGACGAGTTCGTCGCGCGCCGGCAGCTCCGAGTAGCGGACCATGGTGCGCAGATCGCGGATCGACGACTCGGAGCGCTTCATCTCCATGGGCAGCGAGACGCCGTCGGCGCTGCGCTCGAGTACCTGCTCGAAGCTCGCCTGGACGTTCATGAGGTCGTCAAATTCGACGCTCTGGCCGCCCGGCGCCGACAGCTGCTCGTCGGAGCCGGCGGGCGTGACGCCAAACTGCGGGCAGAAGGGCAGGCTGAGGGCGCCGACGCCGGGAATCTTGCAGATGGGCGAGAGCGACGTCGTGATGGACTGGGTGACCATGTTGCGCAGGATGATGGTGGCGCCGATCATGAGCCAGACGGCGAATATCATGGCCAGGGGAAGTTTGAGCATGCGCAGCGCCATGCCGACAATGTCCGCTACCCAGGCGAGCACGTCGAGGAGGGCGTGCGGCGCCGAGTCCATGACGCGGCGACCGACCGTCTGCTGTTGGCGGTCTGTTGGCTGGCGCTGGGCCTCTCTTCCACCGAATTTCGCATCGTTGCTGCTGCTGTTGTTGTTACGTTTCCGCAGGAGGCTGCCGTAGCCCGACTGCTGCCTCTGATTCCTCAGGCGCATGGCGATCCTCTCCTTCTCGTCCATGGTGGGCCGGATTGTCCTCGAAGAGCGGCCGCTGCTGCTGCGGCCTTGGCTCGGACTCTCCATGTGGATGGAAGGCATGTAAAACTCGGGTTCAGGCGTGCGGTGAACATCGTCAGATGGCTGGCGCGTCGTGGGGATCGAAGGGCGAAAGGGCGTGCGCAGGATGACGCGCTCGTCGTCGGCCCTGTCGACGAAGTCGCTGATGCTGTGGGCGCTGTCTTGGGAGGCGAGGCTGAAGTTGCCTTGGGAGGGCCCGCTCGACAGGGGAATGTCGTCTTCAAAGTCAAGCTCGGGGACGATGGACGTGTCGAAGCTGTCGTTCTCGCCGCCTTCGACCATGCGCCAGGAGCTTCCAACAGGCAGCTCGTGCTCCCGAGAGGGCTCTCGCCTCAAGGGCATGGCTGGGTCGGCGGCTAATAGCCTGTCGGAAGCCTCTGTGAAAAGGGGTACTGAGGAGGAGAGATGCGGTGCGGCAAGAGTTAAGAGAGGTGCGGCAGGAGTTGAGGGGAGCGTGTATATATGTCTTGGTGTGGTGGCGAATCGATGGAAGTGCAACAACAACGATATGAAGTGTTGTATGCCTGTCTGGGTAGGAAGTAATAGGTCAAGGTCGAGCTTGGCTGTGACTCATGTGGTTGTCGTCAAGATGTATTGGATGTTGGTGAGCCAGGCAGAAGCAGGAGCCGGAGCACCGAGAGATGTGAATCGAGTCAAGCGTCGACTAAGGCTTGAGAGCGAGGTTGGAGATGGAGATGGTAAATGTTGTTGAGCTGCAACGGCTCTGGCGTCATAGGTACTGTGGGGGGGTCTTAAGGGGGGTCTTGAGCGGTCTTGGGACGTGGGGAGATGGGCTCTCGCCCCTGGCAGGGTCCAGAGGTGACAGGCACGCAGGGCAGGTGACCTGGTGCCCTTCTGCCTTGCTCAGGCAGTATGTACTTACCTCTATACTCACGTAGCTCCTTCCTCGCACCTAAGGGCACCCCCTCTGTCGATCACAGGGCACACCCACCCGCTCTCTGTTCTTTCCCCCGCCAAATGCTCCCCTAATGCTCCCCGTTGCTCCTCCCCCGAACCACTGGCACTTCCTCGGCCCCTCATACAATTCTTTGACGAGCAATGCTCTCTCATCTGGAGAGAACCTCACATCTTCTTCGATACCAATTGCATCGGCAAGGCGCTCAATGACAGACAAGTCCTCATCGCATGACTCCTCTCCGGATGACCCTGACACAGACGATGATGGACTCATGGCTTGCGTGGTGTGAGAAAGAATGGTGGATGCTGAAATGAATTTGGGCGGGGGTAAGAAAGCAGGCTGTCCTCAGCTCCTGCATTCTGTGAGCCCGATATTTATGAGATGCAGCTGAAACGGCCAGACTGCTGCCACCAATGCTCGACGGGCTTCGGTGAGCCAATCGGTCGCTCGTGAGACGAGCATCATTGGATGACAGGGATCTTAGTGCGACTGCCTGGTGAGCAGGTTGCATACCGTCATTCATCTCAACCAGCCATTACATTAGCCGGGCGTCGTGGCTGATGAGATCCAATCCCTTTCCAAGAAGTCTGCTCACAGTGTGCTGGGTGATCATGGA